AACTTGTACCATCATGGTGCTTCGTGGAATTTGCCGGCCTTCTTCAGGGCGACAGGCTTAAAGTGAAAGCACAATCTGGTAAAGCTTCGCTCTCCTAAAGCGCTCGATGCGTACGAAGAACATCTTGTAGCAAACGTGCGTGCTTCCAATCAGCGCGAGTGCTGTGGGAAACACTAGGATACGAATCATTGTTACTGTGTTGATTGAGGATGTCCCCCGGAGACCATCCAAGACCACGTCAAGCTTTTGAGGCATCGTTGGTGAACGTCTTTTGTATAGAACTGGGCTATCCAAGAGTTCGGATGTCGAGCACGGCGAAGGCCCATTCGCCTCTGGATTCGTCTGGTCAAAGCTAATATCAATCGAAGGATCTGTGTCCAGTGCTAGCATACTGTTCTTCACCTCCTTCCAGCCATCATCAACTGGAGAGGGAGATGGGCGTTGTATTTTCCCTCGGCCCTTGGTAGTTTCCACTCCACTGGCCTGCTTCACGTTGAGCGGATAATCGCCGTGCTAATTGCGGCAGATCTACAGAGCATATAACAGGTCGACGAAAAGCAACACGCTTCATCCGCACCGATCCCCGACGTACGCCATCCGGAGGATCAACGTAAAGATTACCATCCAGATAAGCTGTGGCTGAAACGAAGACATGGGTTCCTGCATCCGCAGTCATCGAACCCTTGGGAATATCGGGCTCCTGACATAGGTTATCCATGTGATAAGATGAGGACATAGATGGAACAGGGGGTGTGTCTGGTCCGTGGCTAGAGGAAAGTAGGGTAGTATCTGTGCATTGAGGCAGATTTGGCTGCCGGGAAAAACTGGAGTTTCGACCATGCTTCGGGCCCGAGGCATGGTCTCTCGTCGCCCTACGGTGTCCTTTATACTGTTCAGTCTTAGGAACAACTGTGCAGTGTTGTCAAACAGTCATCTTTGAGACCCCAAACGGTGCATACAGTTTTTACCGTCCTAAGAGCTTGGTGAGCACTGGTGGCATCCAGCATCAGGTAATCGTCGTTAGTGGTGGAGTTTCGCAGTTCGAAAAAGTAAGATCGTGTTTACGGTGGTTGAGGAGAACGCTTGGCAATGTCTGATGATGAATGATTTGACAAGGACAAAAGACCGTATCACACCTCCCAGGACTGACCTGAACAGGGTTCAAACGTTCACAGGTCTATTGAACTCCTGTCTCACAGCGATTTCAATGATGACTGGCCGTTGTTGGCCTGTGAGGCAGAATCAAGTGTCACGAAACTGCCTTCAGAACTGACCCGATCCAAGCGATCGCTTGACAGATTATAAGATGAGATCTCGGTATTCCATGGTCAAGCGATTCGAGAATCGCGGTCATCGTGGTTTGAGTCTGAAACTTTTGGCTGTCGTCGCTTGTGCTTGGTCACGGTTTAGAACACCGACAGGCAACCTCGGGCTAGTACTACGCTTCGCGGGATCGCTTGCTCGAGTCATCCGAAGTTGAAGGTCCAAGCTTCAAGTCCTAGTAGTAGGTCCAATTGTAACGTTAGGGACTGAACATTTTCTTTCCAGAATGCCTACGAAAACCTAATCTTTCCCCCCGAGAATTCGCAAGAATCCGAGTCAGCTGCAGGTCTCCATCAAATTTGAGAGACGTGCATGTATATCGTTCTACTCAGTCAGCAGCCAAGTTAAAAATCTGGACACTGGCACTTGCAACATCCATACCGGTGTGGAGATTCAGCAGGATTCTGGGCCCCTCAGTGCCAGTAAGCTCGGAATTGCAATGTCAAAGAGCTGCAGAGTGAAATTGCTGATCCTCGTCCTAGAACAGCCCTTGGATCGGCCCGTACTGGTTCCCTGAACCTAATGTATAGATGCCCGCACTGTCTCGAAAGACCTTCGACTAGTCCATATACTGCAATACAGCATTGTGTTTATGTGACAAATCGACGTGGACAGAAGGGTATGTATTTGTTAGTGGGTATCCAAGGACATTGCGCGGATCTAAGTGTAGGAGACAGATCCTGCATACGGGGGATGCGGACAGCCGTTCGGGCGTTGATACCGAAGGCGATAAGTAAGCACCAGTTTTTTTTTATCAGGGAAAGTGTCTAAGAATGACACCAACTTGGTGGATAATTTTAGGTGTGCCCTCTGGAAATAAGTATGTTGGTTCTCTGCGCAAGTAACCCGTGTGGCTTTATTTTAACGAATCCGCCAGCGAGACAGATACGGCCGAGTGTTTGCCAAGACCGCAGTCATGGCATGTAACCGTCCGGGATGCCGAACCAATAATCATTCCGACGAAAGAATATCACTCCCTCCGCTAAATCGCCTCCATAAAGACTTGGTGCACGTTTTCATGTACCAGTGAGTAAACATTGTTTCCCCTCGAGCACAATGGACATTTTACTGTCCGCTCCTCTCCAACCTCAGGTTGTGGATGATCGTTATTGAGAGCTGTGCTCACATTGATCGACGCCTTGATGTCATGATGTCGGAGAAAAGTGCGCTGGTCCCGACCAGGTTGGTGAGTCACAGCTTGAAGAAGTTCGTGTTGCGCTATCCGACTGACTTCCCCTCGTATGTGAGTCATGTCCTCTGGATACGAACATTGGAGGCGAGGGAGATGCTCCCTGGACCCATACATACCTATCGCGACACAGCTTCCACCTTGTTCTGCAACGCCGCCAAGCACCAAGCTTTAGCGGTTTGCACACCTGCAAATACTCCATTGTATGCTCATATCTTGACCATGTGATGGGTGAGCACTCCTACAAAAGCATGGGCATCGAGCCCGGCATCGCCGCATTTTCAAACCATATGGGTTTGTATTTTCTAGTCCCAGCAGTCGCGAAGTTCCAGCTGGTTTGAAAGCTTGAAAGCTGGTACACGTTTGATGGGGAAACTTTGACAATAACTCAGACCAAGGATACGGGAAGACCTTTTGTATTGTTCGAACATATCGTTTTGTAATCGACTGTTCATAGAGTGAAAACCATAGAGTGAAAAATTCATTCGTGGTATTGAATTGGAGGCGGCGATGTAGAGATGTATCAGGTGCAGTGATGGTTAGGGGGAAAGAAAAACCAAACAAGAGATGGGATAGCATTGGCAAGCGGAACAACGGACGCAGCAAATGGGCAAAGAGATGACTGGTACACACAACTGAAAAACTTGTTAACTGGAGGGTCAGAGGCCTGTTATTGATGTGTCTCTATAGTGGTATTGAAGGACGAGGACCTCGGCTAGAGCTTGGTCGAGAGCCAGAGCTGAAGAGGGATGCAAAATAATCAGTGGGAAACTACAACGATCACAACGAATGAGTTCTTACGCCTGGCTGGTGTGAGTCGAACGCCATCCCCACACTTCACGGATCCACCTTGCCATAGGTACCTCTTTCTTCATGACGCTGACGATCCACGGATGCGCCAACATCTCTTTGGGAGTGGGACGGAGTGTGTGCTCCACGATCAAACTGAAGACATACGTCACTTGAGCAAGTGCGATAGAGAATATCTAATAGCAGCCGTACGTTTGCTTTATGAAGTCTTTCATTTCCTCAGGCCACCTCACATCAGTTTCGTCACTCAGCTTTGGGGGCTGATGAGAAGAAATAAGGAACCCGGAGAGCTGAACGGATCATGATTTCGTACCTCTCCTCTGGTGATGTGGACCAGTAACTCAATCGTCGTCAAGTCATCGGGGAACGGGTAGTGGTTCTGCACGAGTTCCAGAAGCGTAATCCCGGTGGACCAAACATCGGCCCGAATGCTGTACTCTTGTCCGCTGATGCGCTCGGGCTGTGTCAAACTCCGTCAGCAAAAAGGAAATCCAAGTAACGCTGTGAACTTACAGCCATATAGAAACTGGTGCCAGTAAATGTTCCGGCCAAGGACTTGACAAGCTCGCCGGAAACCCCAAAATCACAGAGTCGGACAACACCCTCTCCTGTCAGGAGAATGTTGGAGGGTTTAATATCCCTGTGAATCGTTTTGAGAGTGTGGAGGTATGCGAGACCTTGAAGCACCTGTACTGAAAGTCAACAAGGGACGAGCAGCAACACCTTGAAAGCGATACCTACCCCTTCGGCTATACGACCTGTGACACCTTCGCCAATACGCCCACCTCGTTCTTTGATGCGCTTTCCGACAGCCTCTAAGCTGCGCCCAGCGCAGTACTCCATCATGACCTTGACCTCACTAGAGGATGGTGACATATAGGCACCATAGAACTGAATGATGTTGATGTGCTTTGAGTTTGAGGAGATAGAAAGTTCACGCTCGAGCTGCTTAAGTGGTACTTCGCGTGTGGTGATCGTCTTCCGCGCAAAAATTCTGCCCGTTCGGATCTCTCTGACTTGATGAACAGCACCACCTTGTCCTTCACCTATTCTAGACAGTTCTTCCAGAAGACTGTCAGACCACTTCTCAAGCCCTGCAAGGGTCGACGTCTCCTCAGTTGGGGTGTATGCCTCAACTGTAACTTTTTCGAAACCGGCGACGAGCTGTTCGATGCTACTGTCACTGGTTTCGCTTCGTTCAGCTGGACGAGCTGTTTGGAGCTGTGTATCGGAAGGGCGGACGGTAGCGCCTCCAGGGTTCTCTCCATCTAGCCCAGGTGGAATTGAAGCTGGCCCCGAATAGTAATCGCTGACACCGCCAAACCCCCCGGCTATAGGTAACTGGAGCTTTGGCCTAGAACCATTTACTCTGGGTGTGGACAACCCAGGAAGTTGCGGACGCGATGGGGTTGGTGATGATGAGAGTTGTGGGATTGATGCGGGCGATGGTGGGCGCAGTGATGATTGATCTATAGAGGCCTTGCGAATTTGGAGCGGGCGGACTTCGACCAACAATGGGGATTGTGAACGGGAAATGTTTCTTGGACCGAGAGGACGAGAATGAGATGGTTGCATGGTGAAAGTTAAGTCTGTCGCTGATATCAACGCGTCGGTAAAGGGTTCTAAGTTCGCCCCTTATCATGGGTACATGGATATCTTTCGTCCATAAATCTTGTAGGGCAGTGTAGCCAAGTGGTTACGGCGTCACGTTTAGGTCTGGTACTCAATCCGTGATGGGTTTCCCGCGCGAGTTCGAATCTCGTCACTGTCATCTTTTTTCGCCATTGTGCGAGTGTGCAGTTTGCCTTCAGCGTGTGAGATCATTCCGCGGTATGTGGAACCCGTCCACAACGCACCCCCACACTACCCCCACCAACTGTAGACATAAATACGACCCCATATCGTCCTTGGTTGAAATATTTGTTCTATTGCCTAATGTCGCGGTCAACCATATCGACTTCTGAGCTCATTTCCTTGGACACCAGCTCAAGCACTGATACCCCTCCACCGACACCTTCCCCAACAATGCCACGACGGCGACCTGTCCCGTTACGCTTGAATAGTATCGGCGTCGACCCGTCAGTGCTAGTTGGTAAAGTCCTGACGAGAATAAGCCGCTCGTCCAAACACCCTAGCATGCAATTCCATTTCTCGGATGATACCACATACCAAATTCTGGTGGATGGTTATGACCCAATACATCGGTAAGTCGGAGGCTCTAGATTATACTCCACCGAATCCGACCACTCATAGTGACCAATATCAGTGGTCTACCTAAAGAACTTGAAATGGACCCCTCTTTTGGCTCACTCCTAGATGCTGCAGATGGTGAACTTGACGTTGACCTCGCAATAGATGACTGCGCTCTTATCACGTTGACCGATAAAGCCTTCGAGTCGAGGGAAAGAGAGCAGCGGTGGGACCAGAATCACATCGCGGTCGCGCTCAAGTTTGGCCAGGACCAAGTCTGGCACTGTGTCTGGGCGACACTGATCGATCACGAAAACGGTCACTGCGTCTTTCGCAGCTACGACGACGTATACCTCGAACAACTGCAGCGTTCACCCCGCAAACGTCGTCCCCGGGCCCCCTCCTCGCCGACAAAGTCACGGTGAGATGCGAGCTGTAAAACTAACCAAGAAGATGCGGGGTCTAATCTCCGCGAAATGTACCTACAGTCATTTGCTATCGACTCACGCTGTCTTATTCATATGCACGCGCAATGTTTTTTGATTACCACGCAACTCGTCATTGTAATATGGATTATCTACACCATCACACCAGCCCTATCGCCACTTTTTTGTACTTACCATTCAGAGATTACTTGTTCGGGTCGTTCATTCCTTGTACAAATACCTTGCCTCAGTAAGTATAGAGCTCTAACGATTCAAATTTAACGACGCCGGGTGCGAATAATCATTTGTCACTCACTCACAGCCCATCAAATCTGTGGTGACCATCCATTGAGAGACCGCCAAGCCACGCTAGGCTTGAAAGATCACTGATAGTAGAAAGTACCACCTGATCGTCTCGTCAGATGGGAAGTACTTTCACAGCACTTGGCAGAAATCTGACCAGTATCTGTGCAACGTGATTCACCATGAAACATGTGAAATTCGTATCTCACCGGAAGAATCCAAGTACAGGCTCTTTTGAGCCTAGGTAAGATAGGGGCATCTATCCTGGAGGCACAGGCCTCACTCCGAAGAGGTCGGGCCAGCTTCTAACCCTTTTGCCGCCAAGATGAGTGGATAAGGTGAGTATCCCACAGCACGATCCAGCACAGACCTAAGTTGTGCAGCTCACCTCGTGCACCAAATTCTGCAACAAGAGGGCCTGGGGTTCTGAGCCCCTATAAGGATAGGCAACTCCATATCTGACGGGCCTGCCAAATTCTGAGCTGTCACTCGCATTGGTTGCCTCGGGCTTGGAGTCGAGCACCGCACAGAAATCAATGGAAATCGTGAGGCTGTGATGTCCAATATTTGGTGTGCCACGAAGCGGTTAAAGAATCACGAAGATGACCAAGACATGGGAAAAGACATGGCGACTACTGTGATTGCCCAGCGAATGAGGGAAACTGCGGATAGCCGATCCCAAGAGACTTGGCTAGAACATGATCATGACAAGTGTGCCGCACCACCAGGTACTACTCATCAAATCAATGGGTCTCCGGTTGCTTGTCGGAGAAATAGATCATGCTTGGCCGGCATACCGTCAAGAATCCTGGCTGACACATGGAGGGAGAATGAAACGTGAGCGCGGCACGGCATTTCGCATGGCCGATTCGGATGAGAAACTATGCAAGGTAGTGACCTGCATTTCGTTGGTGAGGTTGCAGTGGTGCATGGCTGCAGCTGACCACACTCCACATCATCAAGAAGGGGATGCAATTGTTTGGATAATACTACAACGAATGCTTGCTGAGATAGAGCTCCATGACGACGAGATTGAAGGTGGTAGACTAGGTTTCGTTGCCGAGGTTCGTTATCGCAGAAGAGCAAATCAAGCCTACGTAGCAAGGTTTTTGTTTCACTTTGGGAACTACGAGGGGGATCTCTGGGTGCTGTCAAACTCTGATAGGTCTGCAAAGTTGGAGATTCAGGAGGGCCTATGTTAAGCCCTGTCAGTTGCATGCGCCAGCTGCCGCATCCTTGCGGTACAAATCAACCAGATGACCACACCATCAATGCGGTGTCCATGGTTGATCCCAAGATTCCGAAAGGGAAATGTTCCCACGGACTATCGCTGTTGTTCGCCACAGCATCGCAATGGGTCGTGCCATTGCACATTTTGGTGTTTCATGGAGAGCCCACCTACTCCAGCACTGGCACCGCGCGTGTCGTTCGCATCTCTAACTCACCAGAATATCGGGACAGTTCAAAAGCTGAACTCTGTCCTCTTTCCCGTCAAATACAGCGAAAAGTACTATAAGGACATCCAACTATCTGAGGTTGAAGCTTTTTGCCAACTCGGTCCGTCCGTTCGATAAAACGATGTCTTGGATTGCTGTGTTTCTTACTTTGCAAGGAACTCTCGACTAGTTTACTACAATGACGTTCCTGTCGGCAACATCTGCTGCAAGCTCGAGAACAAAGAGCTGTATCTGACAACCTTGGGGATCCTCGCCGTAAGTCGTTCCTCCTGCCCCAGCATCCATTATATGGCTGATATCACTTCCAAAGCCCTACCGCTCCCGAAAGCTGGGTTCCCAAGCCCTTGACCGTATCATTCAAGCCGCGTCCTCCCACACCAAGCCCAAAATCAAGCGCATATTCCTCCATGTACAGATCTCTAATGTAGATGCGAAGAGGTTCTATGAGCGCCACGGCTTCAAAGAAACAGGCATCAAAAAGGACTACTACAAGAAGATCACCCCCCGAGATGCATGGATATTAGAGAAAACCATTGAAAATGCCCCTGAACAATAGTCGTATACTTCTAGTGACCTATCATATATCATATATCATACATGACCATTGATCAGGCTCAAAGCATCCGTCTTCACTATGTGATATAAGTCATATGTGGAAAAATAAACGTGCTCATAATTTACAGTGAAAACATATGCGAGGTGAACATGGCACATGGCCGTCAATGATAGACCCAAGCGATCAGCACGAGATTAATATGTGATGCTAATGAATAATAGTCCGCAAAATTGGAACTGGACAAAGGCGCGAATCGTCAGTCGCATGAATGGCTTATCGCTGGGGGACTGACATGTTCATTGAAAGGTCGATTATGACCTCTGGGTGGTCATCATACATCCTCCTCATGACCGCAATGCTTAACGAGCTGGAAGGTGGTGAGTGACGAGTCATAAGACGGGCGTTGGGACTTGCCTGGTGTCGTTTTAATGCATCTTTGCGGGTGAACGTCTTCCCGCATCCCCCGTTGCATAAGAACGGCTTCTCCCCCGAATGCGTCTCTCTGTGGCGTTTCAGATCATGCTGTCTATTGAAAGACAATGCACATAGGTCGCAGGAAAAAGGCCGTGAGGGGGATGCTGGGTATTGTGGTGATTGATACTGGGGGTCGCCACGCCCAAAATATGATGATGTCTGCGGAGGATTGTGTTGGTGCTGGGTGAGATGATGGGCTGGATATTGGTGCGATGGTACGGAGTAGTGAGGGACGGTATTCGAAGGTTGGCTGTGGTGGTCTGGAGGAGGGTAGGGTTGCCGCGGCTGGTGGTATGAACTTGGCGACGTGCCTGGTAGGTATTGGTTGGACACTGGAGGGGGGAAGCTTCCAGGGTAGTGATCGTTCATTCCGTATTGAACTGTGGAGGAATGACCTGATGACACATCATGTGCTGCGTGCCCCATGGTTGGATAGGCGCTCTGTACCGCGTGGTAGGGACTGGGCTGAGCAGAATAGTGAGCGGGCTGGGCGTTGCTCGTTGTCCACTGGCCAGTTCGGCTAGGGTCCCCTGCAGGGAATGGATATGCGCGCCTATTGGTCATGGTAGATGATGGAGGTGGGGGCCAAAAGTGCGGTGCGAGACGCTCGACGTCTCGTTGGGTTCATAAGCATTTCCGGGACCGTTGGAACCTCATATAAGCAGAGAACTGGACGACAAGACGCCAACAGGGTGGGGTCGTAATTGGTTGGCTAGATCTTGTCTGAGGTTGCCTGATCGGGTTGATGCTTGCAATGTGCCTGATAACTGTAACTGACCTGAGGTTGTAGGCTGACGACCCTGACAGTATGTATTTCTGAACCGGTCGTCTAACCCAAGTTGGGTCCCCCCGGATCTGTGTCTCTGTTCAGTTCGTTGGGATATCTGGGGATAGCATCCTCATGATCAGTAAGGAACAACGTCCCACCCATTCCAGGTAAGGTTCACCTTCACAGAGTTCCAGTCAAGATCGTGGCAATGCTTGTACTACCTCCTGACCATAATCACCTCAGTGTGTTGACAGATTGAAGCCGGTGTCTAGGGTGCCCCCTCTTAATTATTCCGTATTGCGGGTGATAGTGCTGTTGTGTCCTGTTAGCATAGCCTCCTCCCCGGTAAGATCGAACTTTTCCGTTTTTTTTTTCCCAAGCTGTTCCAGTCGGACCGTGTCAAGCCACGACTTTGACGCAGCGCGCGATGACTGGAGACACTAGACACAAGTTTTGATATGTCGTGCCTAGTTCAGCGGAAGTAAAATAGGCTTGCCTGTCTTGGCTGCTTATTCGCGCCTCCTGTTCGGACTGTCGACACGCGCGGTACGGAATCAAAATGCGTCGAGTCCAAAGTCGTCATGTGGCACTGACTTG